GATACTTTCACACTCTTTTCCATAGTTTTTTTTCATTTTGGTAGATTTTTGCCCTTTAAATTTTTTCCTATTCATATCTTTTTCTTTTTCTCTGTTCTAAACTTCCATGTTTTATAAATAAGTTTTGTTGCAATGCAATGAGATATTTATCTTGTGGTCAGGGATTAACAGCTGGACACTGGTATCAACAGATGATTGACATATTAGCCCCTCCCAAATGCCTATATATTTAGATTAATTACATGTGCTTTTATTTACATACGTTCATTATCAATTTACTCCCTGTTGTGATATGATAATGACTTTGGGATTTTTACAAACTGTGCAGAATAATACTTACTTCAAAATTATGTGATAAAAAAAATATCTTCAAAAAATCATTGTTAGACTGTAGTGCTACCTTAAAATGAAAAATTTTAAAGAAAAAAAAAGGAAAAAAAGGAAAAAAAAATCCCTCCCCCAGATTGAACCCCCTTATGATTCATCACCCCCAAACTCAATCCCAGCCTTCCCTTTGTGGTATGGTACCTTGCAGTACAATTTCAGAGAGATCCATACACTTGAACACAAGTTAGTCCTGAAACTAGAAAAATGCTTGTTTTTTGCCCCTAATTCCTAAAATTTTGAGGCAATTCCCCCATAACCAATCCCAGCCTTCCCTTTGTGGTATGGTACCTTGCAGTACAATTTCAGAGAGATCCATACACTTGAACACAAGTTATTGTCTTGAAACTAGAAAAATGCTTATTTTTTGCCCCTTTTTGGCCCCCAATTCCTAAACGTTTCAGGCAATTACCCCCGAACTCAATTCCAGCTTTCCCTTTGTGATATGAAACCTTGTAGTACAATTTCAGAAATATCCAAACACTTACACACAAGTTATTGTCATGAAACTAGAAAAATGCTTGTATTTTGCCCCTTTTTGGCCCCTAATTCCAAAAATTTTGAGGGCAATTACCCCCAAAATCAATCCCAGCCTTCCCTTTGTGGTATGGTACCTTGCAGTACAATTTCAGAGAGATCCATACACTTGAACACAAGTTATTGTCTGGAAACTAGAAAATGCTTATTTTTTGCCCCTTTTTGGCCCCTAAATCCTAAAAGTTTGAGGCAATTACCCCCAAAATCAATCCCAGCCTTCCCTTTGTGGTATGGTACCTTGCAGTACAATTTCACAGAGATCCATACACTTGAACACAAGTTATTGTCTGGAAACTAGAAAAATGCTTATTTTTTGCCCCTTTTTGGCCCCTTATTCCTAAACGATTTAGGCAATTACCCCCAAACTCAATTCCAGCTTTCCCTTTGTGATATGGAACCTTGTAGTACAATTTCAGAAAGATCCATACACTTACACACAAGTTATTGTCCTGAATCTAGAAAAATGCTTGTTTTTTGCCCCTTTTTGGCCCCTCATTCCTAAACGTTTTAGGCAATTATCCCCAAACTCAATTCCAGCTTTCCCTTTGTAATATGGAACCTAGTAGTACAATTTCAGAAAGATCCATACACTTACACACAAGTTATTGTCATGAAACTAGAAAAATGCTTGTTTTTTGCCCCTTTTTTGGCCCCTAAATCCTTAAATTTTGAGGCAATTACCCCAAAAATCAATTCCAGCCTTCCCTTTGTGATATGGAACCTTGTGGTACAATGTCAGAGAGATCCATACACTTACACACAAGTTAATGTCATGAAACTAGAAAAATGCTTGTTTTTTGCCCCTTTTTTGGCCCCTAAATCCTAAAATTTTTAGGCAATTACCCCCAAAATCAATCCCAGCCTTCCCTTTGTGGTATGGTACCTTGCAGTACAATTTCAGAGAGATCCATACACTTGAACACAAGTTATTGTCTGGAAACTAGAAAAATGCTTATTTTTTGCCCCTTTTTGGCCCCTTATTCCTAAACGTTTTAGGCAATTACCCCCAAACTCAATTCCAGCTTTCCCTTTGTGATATGGAACCTTGTAGTACAATTTCAGAAAGATCCATACACTTACACACAAGTTATTGTCCTGAAACTAGAAAAATGCTTGTATTTTGCCCCTTTTTGGCCCCTAAGTCCAAAAATTTTGAGAGCAATTACCCCCAAAATCAATCCCAGCCTTCCCTTTGTGGTATGGTACCTTGCAGTACAATTTCAGAGAGATCCATACACTTGAACACAAGTTATTGTCTGGAAACTAGAAATTGCTTATTTTTTGCCCCTTTTTGCCCCTTATTCCTAAATGTTTTAGGCAATAATCCCCAAACTCATTTCCAGCTTTTCCTTTGTGATATGGAACCTAGTAGTACAATTTCAGAAAGATTCATACACTTACACACAAGTTATTGTCATTTTTTGGCCCCTAAATCCTAAAATTTTGAGGCAATTACCCCAAAAGTCAATTCCAGCCTTCCCTTTGTGATATGGAACCTTGTGGTACAATATCAGAGAGATCCATACACTTACACACAAGTCAATGTCATGAAACTAGAAAAATGCTTGTTTTTTGCCCCTTTTTTGGCCCCTAAATCCTAAAAGTGTGAGGCAATTACCCCAAAAATCAATTCCAGCCTTCCCTTTGTGATATGGAACCTTGTGGTACAATGTCAGAGAGATCCATACACTTGAACACAAGTTATTGTCTGGAAACTAGAAAAATGCTTATTTTTTGCCCCTTTTTGGCCCCTTATTCCTAAACGTTTAGGCAATTACCCCCAAACTCAATTCCAGCTTTCCCTTTGTGATATGGAACCTTGTAGTACAATTTCAGAAAAATCCATACACTTACACACAAGTTATTGTCCTAAACTAGAATAAAATGCTCCGCAGGGCGCAGCTTGATACGACCGCAGAGGTCAAACCCTGAACAGTTGGGGCAAGTATGGACACAACATTCAAGCTTGATACAGCTCTGAATTTGGATTGTGATTAAATATTTGACACAGCATAGGTTTCTGACACAGAATGAATGTGGTCTAAGAACTTAAAAATTTTAAATTGGACATTCACCTATTATGGTCCAATATCCAAAATCTAAATACATGGTTAGATTCAGCATATCAAAGAACCCCAAGAATTCAATTTTTGATGAAATCAAACAAAGTTTAATTTTGGACCCTTTTGACCTCAATGTGGACAAAGTTGATAACGGGACCCAAAAATCTAAATACATGGTTAGATTCAGCATATCAAAGAACCCCATATATTCAATTTTTGTTGAAATCAAACAAAGTTTAATTTTGGACCCCGATTTGGACCAACTTGAAAACTGGGCCCATAATCAAAAATCTAAATACATGTTTAGATTCAGCATATCAAAGAACACTAAAAATTCAATTTTTGTTAAAATCAAACTAAGTTTAATTTTGGACCCTTTGGACCTTAATGTAGACCAATTTGAAAACGGTACCAAAAATTAAGTATCTAAATACACGGTTAGATTCGGCATATCAAAGAACCCCAATAATTCAATTTTTGATGAAATCAAACAAAGTTAAATTTTGGACCCTTTGGACCTCAATGTGGACCAATTTAAAAACAGGGCCCAAAATCCAAAAACTTAATACACGGTTATATTCAGCATATTAAAGAACCCCAAGAATTCAAGAATAAAACCCCATTGAAATTGATCAAGAAATAAGCAATTTATAAGAAGTATCTTCTTTTGCACAATACTGTGCAATTGAATATTTCTTGCTATTGCGCAATACTGTACAATTGACAATTTCTTGCTATTGCGCAATATTGTGCTATTGGATATTTCTTGCTATTGTGCAATACTGTGCAATTGAAGATTTCTTGCTATTGCGCAATACTGTGCAATTGAAGATTTCTTGCTATTGTGCAATACTGTGCAATTGAAAATTTCTTGCTATTGCACAATACTTATTATATAAAAATTTACACATCCTGCTTGGTGTGTATCTCCTACCATATCATTATTATTTGCTTTTAAATATAAATAAAAAATAACCAACTTAAAATGGAAAATTTTAAAAGAAAAAAAAAAAAGGAAAAATAGAAAAAAAAAGAAAAAAAAAAAAAATCCCCCCCCCCCAAATTTTTTGAACCCCCTTATGATTCATCACCCCCAAACTCAATCCCAGCCTTCCCTTTGTGGTATGGTACCTTGCAGTACAATTTCAGAGAGATCCATACACTTGAACCCAAGTTATTGTCTTGAAACTAGAAAAATGCTTATTTTTGGCCCCTTTTTGGCCCCCAATTCCTAAACGTTTCAGGCAATTACCCCCGAACTCAATTCCAGCTTTCCCTTTGTGATATGAAACCTTGTAGTACAATTTCAGAAATATCCAAACACTTACACACAAGTTATTGTCATGAAACTAGAAAAATGCTTGTTTTTTGCCCCTTTTTTGGCCCCTAATTCCTAAAATTTTGAGGCAATTACCCCCAAAATCAATTACAGCCTTCCCTTTGTGATATGGAACCTTGTGGTACAATGTCAGAGAGATCCATACACTTACACACAAGTTATTGTCTGAAAGTTACAAAAATGCTTATTTTTGGCCCCTAATTCCTTAACTGTTGGTACCATAACCCCCAAAATCAATCCCAACCTTCCTTTCGTGGTATTGAACCTTATGGTAAAATTTCATGGAGATCCATTCACTTAAACTAAAGTTAGAGTGCGAAAACCAATGTGTCATCGGACGACGACGACGACGACGAAAACGACGCCAACGTCATACCAATATACGACCAAAAATTTTTTAATTTTTGCGGTCGTATAAAAATGCTTGTTTTTTGCCCCTTTTTGGCCCCTTATTCCTAAAATTTTGAGGGCAATTACCCCCAAAATCAATCCCAGCCTTCCCTTTGTGGTATGGTACCTTGCAGTACAATTTCAGAGAGATCCATACACTTGAACACAAGTTATTGTCTGGAAACTCGAAAATGCTTATTTTTTGCTCCTTTTTGGCCCCTTATTCCTAAACGTTTTAGACAATTACCCCCAAAATCAATCCCAGCATTCCCTTTGTGATATGGAACCTTGTGGTACAAGATCAGAGAGATCCATACACTAACACACAAGTTATGTCTGAAGTTACAAAAATGCTTATTTTTGGCCCCTTTTGGGCCCCTAATTCCTTAACAGTTGGTACCATAACCCCCAAAATCAATCCCAACCTTCCTTTTGTGGTATTGAACCTTATGGTAAAACATCATAGAGATCCATTCACTTAAACTAAAGTTAGAGTGCGAAAACTAATGTGTCTTCGGATGACGACGATGACGATGCCAACGTCATACCAATATACGACCGCAAAATTTTTTTGCGGTCGTATAAAAACTAAAGACAAACCAACACAAATCCAACCAAAAACCAGGGGTGATCTCAGGTGCTTTGAAAGGTTAAGCAGATACTGCTCCACATGTGGTATCTGTTGTGTTGCTCATGTAAGTAGCAGCCCGGTGATTATTCTAATTCGGTAGGTGACATTCATGAAAAAAGGGGTCAGGATTGTGGTAACCACAATTGGAACATAACCGTCGTCATCTATGAAACAGATATTTCATAAGGGTCAAGAACTTATGAGAGTGACCTTACAATTTTCCAAGGGGTGATTTCAACTTCACCTTTTGGAACTCTTCCTTTAATAGCTTCCTTGTAAGCAGCAACCCTCTATCAAGGAAATCATGATAGGAAATGCAAGCTCTGGAATATCGTATCAACTGAGAGATATGGTCTTCAAATGCAGGCACTGCTGGAATGTTGCTACAGAGAAATGGAAAGTTCACAATTTGGAAGCTGAAATTATCTTTTTTGTTGTAATGTTTAGTTCTCAACAAACCTTCAATGTCAATTTCCAAATGTGTCTGTCCCGGTTGTTGTTTGTTGCTGTTTATCAAATATTTTGTTTGTTTATAGTTTTGTACATAAATCAGGCCGTTGGTTTTTTCATTTGAATTTTTTTTAAACTTATCATTTTGGGGCCCTTTGCAGCTTGCTATGTGGTGTGAGCTTTTGCTCCTTGTTGAAGCCGTAGGGTGAACTATAATTGCTATTAACTTCAACATCATTTGGTCTCTGGTTATCTTATTTTTATATGGCAACAAATTGTCTGTTTAAACAATTTTATTTTATCAATAACATGTGTGATTATTGATTTTATTTTGATTTTTTGGTGTTTTAACGCCACTTTTAAGCACCGCTTTTGGGCTATTTCGTGGCGGCCAGTTTTTATTGGTGGAGGAAGCCAGAGTGCCCGGAAAAAAACCACCGACCTTCGATAGCAAAACTGACAATCCTAGTCAATTAAGATTGGAGTCGAGTGCACCAGCACGAGCGGGGTTCGAACTCACAACCTCAGTGTTGACTGGCTAGTGATTACAGTAGTAACTACTTAGACCACTCGGCCACCGAGGCCCCCGTGTGATTATTGACAACATCACATATGTGCATTGCTTCTAGTTACATGAATAAAGTTGAAAATAAAGTCCAGATTCAATGAAAGAACCTTAGTGAGCGCGCTCACATACCCCACGTCCCCACATTGTCAATGGAGAAATAAAATAAGTGTAAGAAAAATAAATTGTATCAGAAAAAATAAAATGCTCCGCAGGGCGCAGCTTGATACGACCGCAGAGGTCGAACCCTGAACAGTTGGGGGAAGTATGGACACAACATTCAAGCTTGATACAGCTTTGGATTTGGATTGTGATTAAATATTTGACACAGCATTGGTTTCTAACACTGATTGAATGTGGTCTAAGAACTTAAAAATTTTAAATTGGACATTCACCTATTATGGTCCAATATCCAAAATCTAAATACATGGTTAGATTCAGCATATCAAAGAACCCCAAGAATTCAATTTTTGATGAAATCAAACAAAGTTTAATTTTGGACCCTTTTGACCTCAATGTGGACAAAGTTGATAACGGGGCCCAAAAATAAAAAATCTAAATACATGGTTAGATTCAGCATATCAAAGAACCCCATATATTCAATTTTTGTTGAAATCAAACAAAGTTTAATTTTGGACCCCGATTTGGACCAACTTGAAAACTGGGCCCATAATCAAAAATCTAAATACATGTTTAGATTCAGCATATTAAAGAACCCTAAGAATTCAATTTTTGTTAAAATCAAACTAAGTTTAATTTTGGACCCTTTGGACCTTAATGTAGACCAATTTGAAAACGGAACCAAAAATTAAGAATCTAAATACACGGTTAGATTCGGCATATATAAGAACCCCAATAATTCAATTTTTGATGAAATCAAACAAAGTTTAATTTTGGACCCTTTTGACCTCAATGTGGACAAAGTTGATAACGGGGCCCAAAAATCAAAAATCTAAATACATGGTTAGATTCAGCATATCAAAGAACCCCATATATTCAATTTTTGTTGAAATCAAACAAAGTTTAATTTTGGACCCCGATTTGGACCAACTTGAAAACTGGGCCCATAATCAAAAATCTAAATACATGTTTAGATTCAGCATATCAAAGAACCCAAAGAATTCAATTTTTGTTAAAATCAAACTAAGTTTAATTTTGGACCCTTTGGACCTTAATGTAGACCAATTTGAAAACGGAACCAAAATTTAAGAATCTAAATACACAGTTAGATTCGGCATATCAAAGAACCCCAATAATTTAATTTTTGATGAAATCAAACAAAGTTTAATTTTGGACCCTTTGGACCTCAATGTGGACCAATTTAAAAACGGGGCCCAAAATCCAAAAACAAAATACACGGTTAGATTCAGCATATTAAAGAACCCCATGAAATCAAGAATAAAACCCCATTGAAATTGGTCAAGAAATAAGCAATTTATAGGAAGTATCTTCTTTTGCACAATCCTGTGCTATTAAATATTTCTTGCTATTGCGCAATACTGTACAATTGACAATTTCTTGCTATTGCGCAATATTGTGCTATTGGATATTTCTTGCTATTGCGCAATACTGTGCAATTGAAGATTTCTTGCTATTGCGCAATACTGTGCAATTGAAGATTTCTTGCTATTGTGCAATACTGTGCAATTGAAAATTTCTTGCTATTGCACAATACTTATTATATAATAATTTACACATTCTGTTTGGTGTGTATCTCCTACCATATCATTATTATTTGATTTTAAATATAAATCAGAAATAACCAACTTAAAATGGAAAATTCTAAAAGAAACAAAAAAGGAAAAAAAGAAAAAAAAGGAAAAAAAAATAAATCCCCCCCCCCAAATTTTTTGAACCCCCATTATGATTCATCACCCCCAAACTCAATCCCAGCCTTCCCTTTGTGGTATGGTACCTTGCAGTACAATTTCAGAGAGATCCATACACTTGAACACAAGTTATTGTCTGGAAACTAGAAAAAAATGTGTTTTTTGGCCCCTTTTTGGCCCCAAATTCCTAAACGTTTAGGGCAATTACCCCCAAACTCAAACCCAGCTTTCCCTTTGTGATATGGAACCTTGTAGTACAATTTCAGAAAGATCCATACACTTACACACAAGTTATTGTCATGAAACTAGAAAAATGCTTGTTTTTTGCCCCTTTTTTGGCCCATAATTCCTAAAATTTGGAGGCAATTACCCCCAAAATCAATCCCAGCATTCCTTTAGTGATATGGAACCTTGTGGTACAATGTCAGAGAGATCCATACACTAACACACAAGTTATGTCTGGAAGTTACAAAAATGCTTATTTTTGGCCCCTTTTTGGCCCCTAATTCCTTTACTGTTATTACCATAACCCCCAAAATCAATCCCAACCTTCCTTTTGTGGTATTGAACCTTGTGGTAAAATTTCATAAAGATCCATTCACTTAAACTAAAGTTAGAGTGCGAAAACCAATGTGTCTTCGGACGACGCCGGACGTCATACCAATATACGACCACAAAAATTTTTTTGCGGTCGTATAAAAATTGAATCATAAAGTATGTCCTTATTATCTACACAGTTTCATGAAATTCTGTTGTGTGGTTTGAGAGTAGTTGCGATGACAAAAGGTTGCAGTAGTATATTGAGCAAATAAGTTCAAAGGGGCATAACTCCTGGAAAAAAAATTGAATCGTAATTTCCTGTCAATATGCACGTCTACGTAGTATGTCCTTATTATCTGAAAAGGTTTCATGAAATTCTGTTGTGTGGTTTGAGAGGAGTTGCGATGACAAACTGTTGCAGTAGTACATTACAGTAAATAAGTTCAAAGGGGCGTAACTCCTAGAAAAAGAATTGAATCGTAATTTCCTGTCGATATGCTCAACTACATAGTATGTCCTTATTATCTAAAAAGGTTCGTGAAATTCTGTTGTGTGGTTTGAGAGGAGTTGCGATGACAAGAAACAGGACTGACGGACGGACAGACAGACGGGCGGGTCAAAAACATTATACCCTCCGCAACTCGTTGCTTGGGGTATAATAAAGTTTTTTTATTTTAATTTATGAACCAAAGAAATAAATATTTCTATTTGTAAGTACCATCAGGATATGATAAGCTTCATACATTCATACATGATTGTTGACCAGACCATTGTGTATGTTCACATAAAAAAAGTTACATCATCACATATGTTACTATTAAGGGATAACAATTTATTTACATGTTTTTCCGTACTGATCGAAATTCCAAGTTACAGACGAGGAATCAACACCGAGTTAAAAAACATTTCGCTGAACGCAGCTGGATACGACCGCAGGAGGTCCAACCCTGAACAGTTGGGGCAAAAATGGACACAATATTCGCACTTGATACAGGTCTGAATTTGGATTGTAATTAAATATTTGACACATAATAGGTTTCTGACACAGAATAACTGTAGTCAAAGAACTTGAATTGGTTATGTGATTTGAATTTATATTCATTTTTTTGCTTTAGTGCAATACACTATGCTGTTGCGAATTGACCCCCCCCCAAAAATTTTTTTTTCTTTATGCATAATTTAAAAGCAGTGTTAGGGAGGTAATTCAAAATGTGTTTGAATTACCTCCCTTACACTGCTTTTAAATTATGTTTTGTACTTAAGTAATTGTCCATTAACCAGGACACCCTTAGTTTTTCCCCCCTTTTTGCCCCTAATTCCTAAACGGTTTGAGCCATAACCCCCCAAAGCCAATTCTTACCATCCCTTTGTGGTATGGAAACTTGTGGTATAATTTCAGAGGGATCCATATACCATTCCACAAGTTATTATCTGGAAACTAGAATAAACTGCTTCGCTGAGCGCAGCTGGATACGCCTGAAGAGGTCCAACCCTGAACAGTTGGGGCAAAAATGGACACAATATTTAAGCTTGATACAGGTCTGAATTTGGATTGTATTAAATATTTGACAT